CCCCCCCCCCTCCCAGTCCGCGTTGCCCATCCCCTTCTTCACAAATTGGGTCCCCGACCTACATCCTCCTCGACGTCTTCCTTCTCCACAACTCCTTAACGACCCTCCCCTACCCTCCTCGGCGTCTTCCTCCTCCACAAGTCCTTAACGAGATGGGTCCCGACCTACAGCCCCTTCTTCACCTGGCAAACTTACATTGCATGCTTCACCCTGTCGAGGTGACTTCCCCTGCCATCTCGGCCGCCGCGTCCCGATCCCGACCGACCAAATTCCGAGCCTCTCGTCCTCCTGATCCCGCATCCTCATCCTCCCTTCGTCCTTCTCCTGCTACTTCAGCCCCTCAGAATTTCGATGGCGAGTTTCTCCTCCCTGCTTGACCAGGCACCTGAGCCCCCCCTAGCGTTCCTTCTCCCCCCGCCTCTCCGCATGCACGGCAAGATTCCGGCCTGCAACATAGCACCCCCACAAAAAATGGAGTTGCATCCCTCGACGTAGATGGAGGCAGGAGGGAAGGAGGGATGTAGGAAGGGAGAGAGAGAGAGAGAGAGAGAGAGAGAGAGAGAGAGAGAGAGAGAGAGAGAGAGAGGGTGCTCTTCGCCACGCCGGCCGGATCCACCTGTTTCGTTTCTACATGTAGGCCGAGTTGAATGAAACTCTACACCTCTTCACGCACGAAACAGATGAACGGAGGGAGCGAGGCGGGCGGGTGAGGCGCGCGGGGGCGAGAGAGAGAAAGAGAGAGAAAGAGAGAGAGAGTTCACTTCGCCGCGCCGTGAACTGACCTTTTCCTTATTGGAGCGATTTATACGCCTCATCCTTGCGCAGGGCCGATTTATGCGCTTCATCCTTGCGCAAGGCCGATTTATGCGCCTCATCCTTGCACAGGGCCGATTTATGCGCCTCATCCCTGCACAGGGCCGATGCCGAGGGGGCCCATTTCCTTTTTAGGCCGAGTGTGAACCAAACTCTGCACGTCGTCACCCACAGCACCGCACAGACAGAACACAGAGAGAGAGAGAACGAGAGAGAGACTGCACTTCACTACGCCCGTTAGCTCGCAGGTCGTACTCCGCTCCGCCTGCCTATTCCTTTGTCGCTGGTCGTACGCCTACGTTCTATTCCTTTTTTTCTCTTTTTTTCTTTTTTTTTTTTTCCTACGTTCTATTCAACTTACCTCTGAAAAACGGAACCTCGCTCGGGGTTCCGTTTTTCAGAGGTAAGTTGAATAGAACGTAGGAAAAAAAAAAAAAAAGGAACATTGTTTAGGGCTCTTTTTATAGACCCCACTTACCCACGCTTTAGGTGGTTTTAGGAGACTCTAGGGAGATGAGGGCTGTGGTATTGCATCTTTGTTTTTGTTCTTTAGTTTTTTTTCCTCCGTGCTTTTGAGTAGTTAGTGGGTGTCCAGTGTGTAGAGTGTTTCTTTGCTCTGCCTCCCTTTCCTTTAGCTAGGTAATGTCTATTTTGGTTTGTGCGGTTTTTTGGGGCCGTGTGGCATTCATTTGTTTGTGAGAGGGGTGGACCTTCAGTCAGAGTAGCGGTCTTGTTGTGGCCATTTCTACTTCTGGACAAGCGCTGGTCCATCACCTGAACCTAAGCTGGGTAAAGGTCCCAGCATGTTTTTCCGGGTTGTTTTGTGGAGGGATTCCCGGCCTCCTTGGTTCTGATAATAAAAGTCTCTCTTTCTAAAAAAAACAAAAAAACGGAACCTCAGAAATCGCTGAACTGATACCACGCTCGGGCGTGGGGGCGCAGCCAGGTTGGCAGCGGACCGGCAACTAGCCTACGAGAGCTTCGTAATCTGCAGTTGCGGAAATGGAAGGAACTCCAAAACACGGCCGCATTCAGGCATTGAGGGAACTCATCGCCCCTTCTGGACCTTGCCCCCTACCCAATGACGGAATAAAAAAAGGATAATTTGTGAAATACCCCTATAACTTGAGTTCTATGCCAAAATGCCCCTAAAAGACCTGGGTAGACCGGAATACTCCTCTGACACAAACTACTTTGGGAAATGCCCCTGCCGTCGGTTGTACCTGTCATCTTTGCTAAATACCCCTACCGGGTACTGTCCATGTTTGCAATAGGATGAGCAAATGAATCTTCCGTTAGAACATGGAAATTGTATACCGCGTGGGTGCGGGGAACGCAGCCCTAAGGTAGCTGCAGCGACTTCATAAGAGTTATTGAAGCAAAATCAGTAAAGAAAGAGGTGTATATCACAAAACATTATTACGAATTTGTGTGGTATTGTAGTGTGTTGTTGTCTTTGTTGCTGGAACTTGATCAAATGCAGTGATGGGAGGTTGATGCATAAGAAAAGTGCAGCAAATGGTTGTTAAACCACCAGTCCATCACCCCCTGTACTGTTCATTTTTTTTATCGACAAGTACCAGACCGAAATCTACAGTGATCAGGCATGGAGGAGGCTTGGTGGGGGTGGGGCTGGCGGGCCCACAATTGAAAGAGAGTGTCACTGTGTGACAGCCACACCACACTAGGCACACTCTGCAAGTTTTTTGATGCCTCGTCGTTTCCATGAAAAACGCTCTCCCAGCTCAGTAAGGCGGACTGCTGTTCCTCAGTTGGTACACCCAAAAAATGTTGAAATGCAGACCGAAGTTCGAGTCCATCTGCCATAAGATTATGTCTTGACTTTCTCAACGTTTTGGCTAGGGAAGTGCAATCATGACACCTCAAGGCCGTGACCCTTTCTAAAGAAAAAGGAAGGAAAAAAAATATCAAMAAAAAAAARAAAAAAAAAAAAAACTGCATGCCAACTCAACAGGGTGGACAGCTACATTCGAAACAAAGCAAAGGAAAGAGCCCACAGACATAGATCAGGGCAGACTCACAGTAGGAATGTATCTGACTGAAATTACGGTCAGACCTGGATGAATCTGACTGCGATCACGTCCAGAGCTTAGTAGAACAAGAATTGGAGTATGCCCTTAGTTGGTACACCCACGAACTCTTGAAATACGGCCCTAAGTTCGAATCCAGGTCCCATAGACATAATTCGGAAATACCTGTTGCTCTCACTGATGATACCTAGTTTTTTTTTTTTT